TCTCATCACAATGTGTTTCTTGGCGTTTTTATTTCCTGTTGACTTTGAGGTTTCTCTATGTGATGAGGGCTTGTCTTGTGATGCAGTTCGGTACTTTCCATAGTGTATGTCCTATCCACAATATACTGACTAATGGAATCTTCTCCTGTAAACAGTATCTGATCACTGTGGCTAACATAGATTGTGTTCATTTTAGCTGGCAAATGGTAGTTGGTTTATTTTGGACCTTTTTATCCAAATTTTTGTTTTCTTTTCGGAATAGAATCCAAAATCTGCGATGACATGTTCGTTACTTATTGAGATCACTGAGTTGTTGTTACTAACCTAATATGATATTACCCAATTTTTATACTTGCTTTACACAATATTATATAAGCGTTCACAATTTGTAATAATAATAATAATAATAATAATAATAATTATTATTATTATTATTATTATTATTATTATTAATGTTGTTATTATTTCTTTCAATTTTCCAATACAGTCCAGTAAAGAACTGCCAAAAACTGTTCATTCCAAATTGAAAACTTGTAATCCTACTGTAAATATTCATAATTCCCCTGAAACTGTGAGTTTATCAAATGTGTTGATTGGTATTTGTCGTTAACACATGTCAAATTTTGATTAATTTTATTGCATAGTTTATACATCCGTATACATGTATGTGTATGTCGATTTATTAATTAATATACGTGCTATGTATTGAGCTATTCTATTTCACAGAATGCAATTACTATAATAACCACTAGTCAATTCATAATAAGGATAAATGTTGTTAGGATTGATCTCTATTTTTTTTCGTTTTCCGTTTTGTTTTGTTAAGTAAGCATCAATAACCAATCTCTTTTCTCCTCTATATCCTATTCGTCTTTTAATTCGATGAAATACTGATAACTATTATTATTATTATGATTATTATTATGCTTGTGTGGTCTACTACTGTCTTAACTATCATTTTAGTATTTATTATGATTATGATTATTATTAGTGAATTATATCAACTACTTATCTGTTTGTGCATATCTTGTGATATGATTAGATATTATAAAAGCACCATCATATTAAAATAAATCACTATATCCCATTGAGAATGTCTTACTCTCCACTCTTAGTCATCCTGTACTAGTTGCTGTTACTCTGTTGTTCTTGTTTGTGTTTCACTGCTGCTGATGCTGATGCTGGCCATATAATTATCATTAACTCTTGATGACTAGCAATGAACATACATAGCTTTGTTTGATCATTATATTGTAATTCAAAGACTATATATATATATATATATCTACATATATGTTCATTTACATGTAATCCTTATAACTCATTAACATTTTGTTTTATTTCTCCCTTTCTTTTTTTAAAAAAAAATCATTTCATTTGTTCATTGATTGATTTTGTCTTGTGTTTTTATTGTCCATCTGCCTGGCTATGTGTATGTGTATATGTGTGTGTTCCCTTTTTTTTGTTTACATCGTTTTACTTTGTGTGTGTGTGTGTGTTACATAATAATGTGTACTATATACATATATATATATCATCTTATCTGTAGTAAATGTAGTCATTATTGGTAATTGTTTTATCTATTCACTTCATATATAATATTATCGTTTGTTGTGTATTTTTGCATGTTTCTACTAATGTGCTAATTCTACACACCAGTCTATCACCTTTTTTTTTCTCTGTTATCAATATCATCCAAGACTTGTGTATGCTTATTCGATTGTTACGCATATGTATATTGGCATGTCTGTGTACATGTGTGTTCGCTTCTGTTCCCATTGAGAGCATGTATTTATTTCATAACCACTTTTTCCAGTTCGAAGTTGTATTTTCCAGTGGTGGTGGTGGTGGTGGTGAGATACTAACTTACTTATTTGTTGTCATTTTTCAGCGAAGTTCATTTGTATTGGTTTGTGTTAAATCTTCCCCACTTCCAGTTAAGACTACAATTAATCGGTCATGTTGATATTATGTTGCATCCTGTCCGGATTGCCTCATCAACAATCTATAGATTTATCTCATTGAATTATACTTTTCGAATTATATCTTTGCTGCATAATCTTCTCCACATTGCTGCTAATAATTCTACTATCGCTATTATCACTGTTGGATTTGAATTGACAGTTACGTCTCTGTGTGCTGACGTAGTATGGCAATGTGAACTGATGTACTTATGTACACGAAGTTCTGTGTTGTATCTGTCTGTCTGGTAGGGGAAAGTGTCTAGCAATGGAATCCAATAAATTTATTTCATCCTATTTGGGATTCGTCAGCTGAATGTACCTGAATGTCACTTCTGTTCAAGCACAGTATTCATCCTCATCTACACTGTCATAGGACAAATTCATAGTTTTCTCTAATTATGGTTTAGTTTGACTCTCTTTTTTATTATCATTGTTCCATTCTTGAAAAAGTGTTTGCTTTTATAGCTCTGTCTGTATAAAACAAATTCTGGATAGAAAACAAATAAGAATATATTTTTTTTCTAAAAATTACATCATGTTACTTGACTAAAATGAGTAGTTTTTGTTTTCTTAGATCGGTAATACATTTTTCTGTAGTTTTTCGGCTAATTTCACAAACTTACACACACACACAGAATTTGTTCACTGGACAGCCGTTTCGTCCTGCTATGGGACATTAACACTGTTGGATTCCGGTTCAGTGGCTCAGAGGTTAGGTGTTCGCGCACAAGCTCGTAGGTCCCTGTTTCTAATCCTGCAGGCGGCAGGAATCGTGGATGCACACTGCTGATAAGTCCCATACCAGAACGAAACGGCTTTCCAGTGTTTCCAGGTTTCTAATGATAATCTAACCATGATTGATTGATAATTTAAAATGTATACAAACACTAATCTTCATAACTCTAATTGAAAAATACATATAACAATAAATGCTTTAGGATAATTTCACAAATTCCAAATTCAACTTATTTTGATGAATAAATTGAAGATTAGCTGGTTGTCATAGAAAAATTGAAAGTGGCAAGAACTATACAATATTGTTATGTTCGTCACTAGGTACGCTTGAAGCTATTACGAGTTCACCTCAGTCGATAAACGCGAACGAGAGAAAACTACCAGAGTCTAGGTAGGCTACCTTGAATTCCAGACTGCATATCAGAAGTCTTGATAAGCGTAGAAAGTATATTTTACAAACACCCAGCAATCACAATACAATCAAGCATACAACTCTCGTTTATTTATACATCATAGAAACGTCCTTGGGACAGTCACAAAAAATAGCACACTAAAATACACAGCAGTCAATCACAGCCATGGATTTTCCTAACGAGAAACGAAATCTCAAGGTCAACTGATCATCGACCCATGCTGGCAAACGTGAAATCCAAAATAAGGCATTTAACAAGCGAGTTCTGGGTTTATCTAACATCACCAACAAATATCTCAGTATCAATGCATATATTCATTGTTTGTTCACTCTCTTCAAAAATTACTGTAATTGCTTACTCTACACTTGATTTATGATAACGATTCCATAAATTAGTATTTCACTAATTGAAACTGGAGAGGTGATGATTGCATTGTTGTGACATAGACAAGTAAAAAAAGAAAAAGTAATTAAGCAAGCCGACTAAAACTATTGAACAATGAATAGATGAATGACAAAAAAATCAAATGTTTATTGATCGTTTTATTATCGTCTTTTATTTTTTTCTAGTTTAGTTTTCTTTCCCTTTTTTTTAGTCAGGTTATATTTTGTTTGTAAGAATATATCGTTTTAATTTACTGATTCATATTGTAGTGAACGAGAACACAAGGTGAGGCAACCGGATTGTATTTAATGAAAATTACAGAGTTACTCAGTAAAATAGGAAAACCATATCGTAAACGGTTAATTTGCAAAATATCAGTCCATCATATCGAACTGGACTGTTGTTCCTGTTTCAAAACATCAATCGATTTTCACTATTCATGCGTTTCATACAAATTCCATTGTGTTCTAACTCTTCCTCCTTTCTTGATCTTCCCCCATCTTCTGTTGCCAGACATTACGTTGACACTCACGTCATATACTACTTATAAGTAGCTCGCACCACAATATGAGTGTACATATATATATAGTCCAGAATGAAATAAATTAATTCCTATTTTCTCTGTCTGTTCTCTATTTCATTTTCAGATTACTCAAACTTCTACTTCTACTATTTCTGATTCTTCATTATTCTTGTGTAATAATAATAGTAATAATAATAATACAATGAATTTCTGTCAGACTAATGAAAATCTCAATGATAATACTAATAATGTCAATAAAACTGATGATGATCATGCTACTAATAATTGTGACATTGTCACTACACTTCCTTATATGAATAACCCGAGTATAATACAATGTGATTTGAATAAGCCAATGAACATTCATCATCATCATCATGATTATTATTATTGTACAATGAAAAAAAATATTTCGACGCCTGTAACTTCTTCTTGGTAGGTAATATATTATTATTATTATTATTATTATTATTATTATTATTGCATTGACAATAATGATTTGATGACAATGTTATATTGTGTGTGATTTATGTCTATATATACATATATGTCTAACAGTATATTTCCCATTTATTTTAATCAAATCATGAAGTTGATTAGTTATGAAAGTGAATCAATGAACAATCAAGTCATATTTTTTAGTTCTTAAAAAAAAAATCCATCCATTATCATGATCAGTCAATCAATCAATCAATAGCAACGTAGAACTTCGTACGTACGTACGTACATCAGTTCATGTTGTCATACCACATTACCACACTCAGATATAATTGTCAATCGGAATCCAATAGTAGTAGAGGTAGTAAAGTAATCGGAGAGGTTAGGATGAGAAGATATTATTGTTCAAGAAGTAGAATGTAGTGAAATAAACTTAGAAAGATAAAGATAAAGTGATGAGGAATTAAAAAGTTTATGATTTGAGAGAACACGAAGAATGAATACACCTGTGCCATTGCAAACGGTTTTGTGCCATGTCATTCAGGGTATCTTTCCATCGATTACTAACATCTCACGGACCCCAATCAGGTGGTCGACACCTACCAACGTGACTCAGTCCACTTGTTAGTGACTTCATGAATTTGTGCCATGTTCTGGTTTGGCCATCCCTAGCTTTCGTCCAACCTATTCCTATGTCGAAAAACATAACCCGACGAAGCAGTCGGTGGTTAGGCATACGTAACACATGTCCCAACCACCTAAACTGATGATGTTTCAATACTTCATTTATTGATCTGCAATCCTTACCTAGTACTCGTTTCCTATCAACAACATTGCTTATACGCTTGTCCCAGGATATACCAGCAATGCTTCGGAGACACCTTTGATCAAAAACAAGTAAGTAACCCTATGCATATCTTCTACTCTCACTGGCCATGTTTCACAGCCATAAAGTAAGACGGAACGAACCACTGCACAGTACACTCGTCCTTTATTCAGCAAACGGATATCTCGCCTACGCCATAAGTGACGCAGGTTGGCAAAAGCTGATGGAGCTTTATGTATCCGTGGTGAGATTTCGTCAGTCACCAGACCATCAGCACTGATGAGACTCTTCAGAAAAGTGAAGCGGTCTACACGCACAACTGCTTCACTCCATATCACTAGTTCAGGTACCGATGCAACCCAATCTTGAAACACCATTTTTCATTTCGCCGGGGAGAATAGCATCCTGAATAGGAAGGTAGATTTGTGTTGGTGTTTAGAGACTTGGGAGCGTGGCCGCAGAGCCCCGAATGACAACTGCTTAAGGCCGGTCACGCACGGCCTTTTCATGGTTAGAATTTAAAGTATTATCTCCTTTCTTGTTTAAAAGGCCTTACCCCTCTACATTCAGCAATACGACTTCGCCTTCAGACCTTGAGTAGCTGCTTTTAGTCTCATTGTTCTCTAATCGACCTGTCTGGCATGCTAGAGCATATATTCGAGCCAATATAGTCTGGTTGGGTCATCACGATAGGCAAGTCCGACCACCACGTCAAGGTAGCAGCTATAGTTGGGTATCAATATATATATATATATATATATATATATATATATATATATATATATATATATATATATATATATATATATTCGTTGTATCTATTTCTCATCTAATGATATTGATTACATTGGCAATCGTGATTCACATTGTTTATTCTTATTTACTGTTTTTCTGATCAATAATAACAATAATAATATAATCCTTCTATAACATGGACATCATTATATGTTCCATGTATTAAATATTATGCATAAATAACATATCAATTGTCAATAAAATCAGCTCAACTTATAAACATTTAGATTTCATTTGTTCATCTAATTCAAACGGTACATCTGGACATCATCATCATCAATCTCATCATCGTCGTCGTGGTGATAATGAAAAAGTTTGTTTAAATTCAAAATGCTGTTATACTAATTTAGGTAAGTTCATATATGTATGTTGTAATCTGTGCTTTGTGTTTCTATGCAAATGTCATACAGATCGTTGTTGATTGATCGCTAATTATTAGTCAAGTCCTGATCGAATTCCACTGATCAGGAGGCAGTCTATTAACATAAATGACTAAAAATTGCTTTTATTGTTTTGAATCACTCAGATTAGGTGGTAATATCGCAATTCTGTCGATAGAATTCTCTCATTACCAGAATAATATGATTTGAGTTACTGTAATAATTATCTCACTCCTACATGAGATCAGTCGTAATACATCCAAATACATCAATGATGACTTATTAAACTATGATGCAAGTTTTCAAAATACAAGGAGTATCACTTCTTCCAAGATTGTAGTTATGACTTACTGAAAAGTGACAACTAACACTAAACATAAGCCTAGAATTTCCTGCTGACTGACTTTAATCACCACTTTGTTACTACATATACAATATGTTAGTCGGACATAGATGGATTAAAGCATGACTGCGCTAGCTGCTCGCTTATTGGCTAATTTCCTATGCGATCATCGCCTGATCTAGTCTTGGAGAACAGGGTAGAAAATTCTCGTGTTGTTAGCTGCACACTGATTGGCTAAATCTAATCCAGTCGATCACGTGAATTACAATCCAGAAGCTTCTCATGTAAATACTATAAAGAAACTAACGTTGTATCTTTTCGCCTTCGGCTTCTTATTTCCATTTAACCTTGCTATTTGGAATATAATCTTTTCCTGTTCCACCGTGTTTTTGATTCTTTGGAACTTGTCCAGTGTATTGTGGTCAGAGAATACTAAGCAATAGGAATTAGCTGGGAATTATTTAAGCAAGCGTTACAATAAAATGATAACTAATCAAGTGATTTAAAATTGATATCTTTAGCACAAGTAAAGCTTTATTGATTGTTTTGTGACCTTGATTTTTTTGTTGTTTCATGAATTACTTGTTACCCAATAAATAAGCATTCATAATATCTAAAGTGTTGGCTGATTGTTTTATCCAAACTCATTTCGTATTTCAACAACTCTTTTGCAGCTTATTTCTCATAGATATTTGCGCTACACTAATCTTATGCTGTTAAAAATATTTTCCCTTTACGCTAACACACTTGTACCGCTTTTGTTCTCATTGGTCTAAACATTCATGAAAGTTTTGCATTAGACTATTATAGTGATCCTAGTTTCATCTTGAAATCATGAATGAATCATTGTTAGACCACCAATAGGAACCTGGAATCAATAGACCGACGTTTCGTCCTAGTGTGGTGCGAGCTACTTATAAGTAGTATATGACGTGAGTGTCAACGTAATGTCTGGCAGCCGAAGATGGGGGAAGATCAAGAAAGGAGGAAGAGTTAGAACACAATGGAATTTGTATGAAACGCATGAATGGTAGTGACAATGGATTGATGTTTTGCAACAGGAACAACAGTCCAGTTCGATATGATGAACTGATATTTTGCAAATGTACGATTTAGAAGATATGGTTTTCCTATTTTACTGAGTAACTCTGTAATTTTCATTAAATACAATCCGGTTGCCTCACCTTGTGTTCTCGTTCACTACACTAGTATGAGACTCATCGGTAGTGCGCTTCTACAACTGACACTCGCAAGCTTCGAACCCACGACCTCCGGTATTGCACGTGATTATTGTTTTGACACAAACCAGTTAGTTAGTTTCAGAAATGCAATCCAGAGGCTAGTGAATATAACAACTGGCTACTAATTATGTATTGTTTATCTTACATTTGTCTATGTAACTATCATATATGCATAAATATTAATGATATCATTTATGTTATCATGATTATTGTTGTACTAATATACATATTATCCTCTCTCTTTCTCTCTCTCTGTGTGTGCATTGTTTTAGATCAAAATTCTAGAAAGCATTTATCGAATTGTTTATCTTCTTCATCTACAGAAATATTATGTAATTATCAGCCTAATTTATGTAAATATCAATCAATCGATAACAACATTGTTAATGTTGATGTTGATGATGACGATGATGATAAGAATGATAATGAGATTGAAAATGATAAATTGTCAGCGATATCTTATCAATGTTTAACAGATGATACCGATATGAATTGTGATATTGCTACTGTTACCGCCACTTTATCCGATCCAGAAACTGAACGTTACAACACTTATAAATTAGATTCATTGAGTGAATTAAATGTTTCTTTAATCTCTGATGCATCAGCTGGTGATGATGATGATGATTGTCAAATTGTAAGCAATAATGCTTGTAAAAAGCCATTCACTATCACTAATCATCATCATCATCATCCTCAATCCATTGTACATAAATGTTCTTATGCACATTGTAAATATCCATTGAATAAAAAATGTAAATATCGTGTTATTTATCGTCAACCAAGAATAGATTTTAGTCAAATGGTACTTGTACCATTTGATCCTACAGCATGGAATGGTCCAGTGTTAAAACCAAGAACAGCATTGAATACAGAAGAATTACAATGGATTGTTGGCAATATGCCTAATAATAATAATAATAATAATAATTCATCATTGTCTTCTACTTCTTCTTTGCCAAATCATGACAATCAACAATCAGTGAAACATGTTACTACAACAAAAGAGTTTCATTCTATTGATAGTAGTAGTAGCTTATGGCAAAAACCAAATGATGGTAAGTGGTGGTTTTGTGCGTATGTGTGTGTGTGTGTGTGTCTGTGTGTATTTTTTTCGCTTTCTGTAAAAAAAATTTCCATTGAATTAATGTCTGTTTATTTATTTCACATTTTTCTCTTAAATTACTGCGAACAAAAGGTCAGGTTATCTAATGCTCTCTCTAGTAATGAATGATATTTCTAAATTCGTCACCAAATGACCGCATTCGTATTCTTTTAATTTCTCCTTGTATAGTGAGTGAGTGAGTGACTAGTGACCTTTGCTATTATCACTGTAGTGAAGGAGAACACAGGTGAAGGCAACCGAATTGTATTTAACGAAAATTACAGAGTTACTCAGTAAAATAGGAAAACCATATCGTAAACGGTTAATTTGCAAATCTTCAATCCATCATCAATCCATTGTCTGACATTTCACTGTTCATGCGTTTTATACAAATTCCATTGTGTTCCCACTCTTCCTTTCTTCTTGATCTTCCCCCATCTTCTGCTGCCAGACATTACGTTTTCACTCACGTCATATACTACTTATAAGTAACGCGCACCACATCACTTTTAATATGGTAATTTCACGTTTCAATATCATAGTGTGTTATTGCATAAATGGATGCATACACATACAGAGTTGTTCCATTCTTTTTTTTCCTTTCCCTTAAATTATAATTTCTCTGACTTCGTTGAATATGATGAGTCTTTTTTTGTTTTTGTTTTCAGACTTCAATCTTTTTTTCTGGGTTTAATTTTTTTGAGGATAATTTGATAAAGCGTCCTATTTGACAATGAGTTGTTTTTTTCTAGTTCACATTCATTAGTTTTCGTTTATTATCAAAAATATATCCATCTATTATAATGCTGCTACGTATAGCTGCTATTCAGTCCTAGCGGTGTCCAAATCAAATATTCCCATACGACCCAAAATGCTATTTTCAAATCTCCTATATATCAGAACGCAACACCGTGGGATGGAGTTGTTTATTGGGTCGAGTACAGAAGAGAGGTAGGCGGCAGGAAGAAACGGAATCATGAAATCTTACAGAGATAGTGCGTATTTATACATTGAGGTCGAATAAGAAAGAGCATCAAAGTCTGTGACATTGACAGTTCAGGGCGACCAATAGGAGAGAACATTTGAAATGACATTGACAGTTCGGAAGACCAATCAGAGACAACATTGAAGTATTTGAGTTTGACAGTTAAAACGACCATAATTTTGACCAATAGAAATCGACCAATAGGATTATACTTACAAAAATAGTGCTCTTAGGATATTTGGTGAATATCCTAACACCATCGTTCGTAATTCACAATCCTCAATTGTAAGCATAACTATTAAGTAGACTGAAAAAAATATTAGCGAATTGTTAGTGTTAATTATTTCAATTAATATTGATTCATATTTCAATTAGCTGGATTTTGCTAAACTAGAATTGATTAAATAAAGATGATATTTCATAGGGAATTGTCTACTTATACTGTTACTTAATTAGTGAGCATTCGTTTACTTTCTTCAGATTCACCAGTTGTAGTTTTTAATGTCACGACCGTAGCTTGCTACCTCGACCTGTTGGTCAGGTTTGCCTATCGTCATGACCCAACCGAGCTATATTGGCTAGAACATATGTTCCCGAAGGTCCTACCATGCAAAGCAGACAAGTAGATTGGAGAACAATGAGACTAAAAGCAGTTACTCAAGGTCTGAAGGCGAAGTCGTACTGCTGAAAACTGCGGAGGAGTGTGACAGCAGTAAGGTGTTTCGCTCGGACGATCAGCATCTGCAGAGATGCTACCTCCTTTCTCACAAGAATGGAAGGGTTAGAAAAGGTCGACCCTAAAAACGTCACACCTCACCTTACCTCACGGATTTCCGTCTCCGTTGGTGAGGACTTTTAAACAAGA